GGAATCTAGTTCTGGAAGTTTAAGCGGTGAGAATTTGACCAGAATTTGACTTTTGTGATATCGGGGCCGGAATGCAATTCTAAGAGTTGAAACAGCTCCGTTATGTCATTTGGGACTTGTCTGTAAGATTTGGCGTCGTTCCGGGTTGATTTGATAGGTTTTGGCGCGAGTTTTAGAAGTTAGAAGATTTGAAAATTCATAAGTTCGATTCATGGCGCAATTTGCATTTCCGGTGTTGTTTGATGTGATTTGAGACCTCGAGCGAGTCCATTTTAAGTTATAGGACTTGTTTGTGTGTTTAGACGGGGTCCCGGGGGCCTCGGGTGTGTTTCAGACAAGTTTCGGATGTTTTGCATAGTTTTGAACAGGTCTGGTTTGGGTGTTTTCGCACCTGTGATGCACCTCAACTTCTACGTGAGCCTGGTCGCTTCTGCGGTAGTGAAGGCCTGAGTGATTGCTCGCTTCTGCAGAGGCTGGAGCACGGGCGCGGAGGCTGCTTTTGTGGTCCAGCGATCGCACCTGTGATTTATTTCGCTTCTGCGGTTTCCTTTATCGCTTCTGCGGTGCCGCTGGTGCGGCTATATATCTGCAGATGCGGTCCCGGGCCTGTTATCTAAGTTCACAGATGCGGAATCTTTCTCGTAAATGCGGTTCCTTGTCCACAGATGCGGAAGTTCTAGCAGAAACATTTAAATCGAGGGTTTGGCCATTTTCTTCATATTTTGAGTTTTAGACTTTGATTTTGGGAGCTTCTTTTTGGGGTTTTCAAGAAAATCGATTGGGTAAGTGTTCTTCACCTAGTATTAATATATTCCATGATTTTATCTTTGTTTTTATCATTTAATTTGTGTTTTGAGTTGAGGAAAATGTTGGTTTTTGAAGAAAGTTTTCAAAATAAAAAATCATGATTTGAGAGACGAAATGGTATAGGAAATTGATAATTTTTGTACGGTTGAACTCGTATCGGAATGTTATTCGGTTTCTGTGAAACCGAATAACATGTCTTCTTTGAGGTAAGTATCTTGCCTAACCTTGTGTGGGGGTTCCCCTTAGGATTTGAGTCCTCTATGTTGATTGTAGTTCGTGTACGCGAGGTGACGAGTGCATGCTCGGACTTATTTGTGGAAAGTTGGCCTTTAGGGTTCTTAGGTCCTTATACCCACTGTGTATGAAGTTGTTCACGATACGTTTGAGTTCCTTATTGCTGGTTTCACTTCTACATGCTTTAATTAGAATTAATTGCTTTAGGATTCGTTCTTAGTGCCTATTTGACTCTCATTTGACTTAACTGAAGATTTTGCTTCTTCTATCGTCATGCTATCTTTTCATAACTGCTTGTCCTTAATTGAAATTATTATTATCTCATCCGATAATTGTTTAGTCTTAATTGGTGTTATGATTATCTTCTATTGCTCATCATTATTTGAATTGTTGAATATCTTTCGCAATTGCTCAACCCTAAGCGACTTTAGATAATCTATATCTTAGTTGACTTGCCATTATTTGGAACTATTTAACTCGTGTTGGTTTCCTTATTGTTTGACTTAAATATTTGGGATCGTTGCTACATATTAGTTTTCCCTTGTTGAAATGTTCCCTTTGTGCCTAGCATCCTTTACTGTGGTTATTCCTTGTGAACTAGTTATATCGTTTCTTTGTGATTTAAAGTTCTTGAGTTGATTTACTCGTCGTACTTTGTATTATTGTCATTTTCGCTGTTGTACTTGTTGTGGTGATGTACGAGGTTTCTGCCATGTTGTAATTGTTATCTCTGTTGGTTGTGCTGTATATTTATGTTTGGGACTACGGGACGGTATCTCGATAGATCCCCATGTTTTGTATATTTACTTTGGGACTATGGAACGGTATTCCGGTAGATCCCCCTGCACATTTACGTTTGGGACTACGGGATGATATCCCGATAGATCCACATGTTCTGCATATTTACTTTGGGACTACGGAACGGTATTGCGGCAGATCCCCCTGCACATTTAAGTTTGGGACTACGGGACGGTATCCTGGGAAATCCCACATTGTTATCACTGTGTCTGAGTTGTTGTCTTTCATTGATGCATTCTTGTGTAGACATTCTACGTGCTGTCCGTTCTTTTTTCCTTATGCTTACTAGCTGGTAAGAACTTTGTTAGGACACTTACAAGCATACACGTGGCTAAGCACCCTTATCGGATAAGAGGTTTTCTGATATTGTTGAGTATAGATGCACACCCTTGTTTACTTGCCTTCCATGTGAGAATGGCTCTATTTGGCATGTGAATTGTCAGTATGATTATGAGGTGTGATGAGGGCACAGGATGCCAAGTGTTAGGGTTCAGGTATTGAGACCCGTATTGTATGATTATGAGATGAGGTGTCACATGGTGACTTATATTCGAAGGATATTTATTTGAAAAGATTTATTCGAAAGGTATTTATTTTGAAAGAACTATTTTTGAAAAATATTTATTTGAAGGAAGTATATTTCGACATATTTTTATTACTTGAAGGATTTGATTAATTGATTGAAGTTTGTTGGCTAAGACCTGATGTGAAAACTGTCGTAGTTGCTGAGTTATTACTTGTCTTCGTTGTATTGTGATTTCGGATTTGGGTTGTATTTCCGTTCACTTTTCTGTGTCCTTATTATGGTGTTCCCTTGTTACTTGTTGTTTCTTTCCTTATTGCAATTACTGTATTGCCAGCCATATCGCGTGGTCTTATATAGATATCATGTTCTGTTGTTTCTATACTTATACTCATTCAGTTTATTAGACTAGTAGGTTTCTTGACTGTTCCTCGTCACTACTCCACCGAGGTTAGTCTTGATACTTATTGGGCACCGCTGTGGTGTGCTTATACTACACTTCTGTACATTTTTTTGTACAGATCCAGGTATTGATCGTTAGTAGCTGTGCGGATTCTTGCCGAGGAGACTCAAGGTAACCCTGCTGCTGCGTTCGCAGGCTTCGGAGTCACCTTCCTATTTTATATTCACACTGTTGTATTTATTTCCAAACAGTTGTATTTAGACGTTGTAGCGAACTCTGTAGAGCTTATGACTTGTACTACCGGTTTTGAAAAAATTGTAAATTTTATAAAGAGTCTATATCGAGATTATTAGTCTTTCTTACTATTGTTGATATTCAGTAAATGTTAGGCTTACTTAGTCCCTAAGACTACGTACCATTACGAAATCCAACGGAGGGAAAATTGGGTCGTGACACAAAGTTCCTCGGCAGGTGTGGGTTGTGACAAGGATTTTTATGATGGCATTGGCACATAACTTGAAAAATAGGTCAACATCATGACGGGCAGTTCCGCATGACGGACTATGCGGGGTTGACAAACGCACCTTGAACGGAGGCAAGGTGCATTTTACAATGGCAAGGCAAAGCCATGTCAAAGTAGGGGCAAAGACATGGTAAGACAAGGTAAGGCAATGCGGAACAATCAATGACAATTGATGCACGCAGATTTGATCAAGTTGAGGGCGACTAGACATAAGCGGGCAGCTGTGGCAATGGGCGTGTGCGACTAAGTCAGTGGGCGGCAAGCTGTGGCCATGACATTGGGGCGGAGCAGTGTCAAAGGGCAAGGCTGGGCGCAATGCCAACCTTGGGCACATAGCAGCTGGGCAAAACAGGCACATGCAGCGCACAAGCAGTAGTTACGAAAAGTGTGCTGGGCACATGACAGCCAGTTGGCGGTTACAACCACATCCAAAACATGGCTGATCATGGGCTAAAGTGTTGGCACGTTTTTGTATCATGTCTTAGCATGTTTGCCCATCAGTTGGGGCTTGTCATCTGATTGTCTTAGATGCTGCCAAGTGTAATTAGGCAGCCTACACTATAAATAAGTGCATAGGCTGTCCCAAATGGGTAGAAACTTAGCTTGTGGCATAGGTGTTAGCCAAATTTCGTCTAAGTGTATTCCTAAGGGTGGGAAACCATTTTGGGGAAGGGAACTAAGGTGTTCTTTGTTTTTGGCCATAGGGTTGGCTTATTGTGTTCTTGTATTCACATATTAATACAAGTTGGAAAGAAATTCATATAAATTTCGTGTGTGCCTTTTTTACTTTACTTGCTGCCTAAATTTTTCAAATTTTCAAACGTCCCTAAAATTATTCTAAATATTAAAATGACTGAAGTAAAGGCTGAGCTTGACTGTCGTACAATGGTGAACCTCGGGCAAGATTCGAGTGACATAAATCACCGGTGACACTTACCTTCGTTCTTATTATGGGGGTAGACTTGCGGTAAACAGTGCAGTCTACCCATATATTATGGGGGTAGACTTGGGAATCCAAAACCCATATATTTACGCTTTAATTTGTCATTCCTTGGAAAGCGCAATTACATTTCTCCAAGCGTGTATCATAAATTTTGTTATCTCTTCCTCTTTCAGGCAATAAATGCAGCTCAGCCCTTCTCAAAATTTGACAAGTTCTCAGTCTAATTTGGTGTGTAATTATGGAGAGTCACACGCATTACTTTATATTAATAATCCTAAACTTCAAAATTTAATAGAGTAATATTTGTTAAAATCCAATCTCTCTCTTTTTTATTTTGTATATACAATGTGAGCATACAAATTATGGTTTAATTACTTAAGGTTATTATAAATTGTAGGTCAACATAATCTATGGATAGTGGGTGTACAAATCTTAAAACCATTTTATTTTCATGTTATGTACGGAACAGAGACGAGGGTCTATCGGGAACAGTTTCTCTACCTTCACAATATAAAGGCAAGGTTTGCGTACACATTACTATCCTCAGACCCCACTGAGTTAGTTGTTATTGCTATTGTTGTTATGCATGGAACATCCTCATTTTTAGAAACTATACTCATTCACTTACATTACATGCGGCCTAAGGTGGGGAGCAAGCATTAAATACCACGTCTTAGAGTAACTCTATATAAACCACTGGGTTGTAACCAAAAGAATACACTACACTTAGACAATTGCATACAAGCAACACAATACACTTACACTAAAAGAACACAAAGCAAAGAGTTGAAAGAGAGTTAACATTGAGAAAATGAAGAAGTTATCAATGGTCTGCATTATGTTAGTTGTGACATTAGCAGTAGCAGCAATGGCTACTATAGAAGACGACGAAAAAGATTGTGCAGACCAACTCACAACTCTAGCAGCATGCATTCCATATGTGAGTGGCACAGCAAAGAAGCCAACTGCTGAATGTTGTGAGGATACTCAGAAAGTTAAAGCTGCTAAGCCTAAATGCCTTTGTGTTCTTATCAAAGAGAGCACTGATCCCTCTTTAGGCCTCCCTATCAACACTACTTTGGCTCTTCAAATGCCCTCTGCTTGCAATATTGATGCTAAAGTCTCTGATTGCCCATGTAACCAATCCTTCTTCTTTCACTAGCCTATTACTCACTTTGTCCCATTTTTTGTGTCATACTATTATTTTTAGTTAGAAGGGGAGATAGTCAATCACTTTGAGGTCATGAGTAACCTGCAAAGTTGCTGCCATATGATCGGAGGTCACGTGTTCGAGCCGTTAAAACAGCCTCTTGCAGAAATGCAGGGTAAGGCTGCGTACGATAGACCCTTGTGGTCCGGTCCTTTCCTGGACCCCGTGCACATAACGAGAGCTTAGTGTATTAGGCTGTCTTTTTTTTTTAACTATCATTTTTAATTAGTTCCAAATGATCGATACCTATTTTATATTTAGAAATAATTTAATTTTGAACTTTCTATTTTACCCGTAGTGACATATTCCGTTCCAGTTTATGTGAACCTATTTCCTTTTTGGTCCGTTCCAAAAAGAATAACCCCTTTTTGAAAACAATTTAGCTTAAATTTTTAATCATACTCTTAATGAGATGCTTTTATAACCACACAAATACTCTGGGCCCCTTTTTGACTTATTTAGGACCACAAATTCCAAAAGTCTTTAATTTTTTTAAATTTCGTGCCTAGTCAAACAGGTTCGCATAAATTGAAACGAAGAGAGTACAAATTTATAGCTAAAAGAATATTTATTTTATGGTATGTTTTAGATCATAATTTTAAAAAGTTCTTTTTGTCTTCTTAAACTTCGCATCCAGTTAAATATGGTCACATAAATTGAAACTGAGAGAGTATTTTGTGGTAGTGTTTTAAAGAACATTGGTTAACTTGAATGGCTAATTATTTGTGTGCAGCAATACTGAAGCTCCCAGCAGATTCACCAGATGCAAAGATCTTTAAAATAGATGGTGCAGATTCCACTTCTACTTCATCTGGAACCTCAACACCAGCTTCCTCTTCTAGTTCAGACGCCAAGAATTCTAGTACTACAACTACAGGCACCAATGGGGTTGCAGACCAGAGCATCAGCTTCATGTTGACTATGGCACTGACATCAATTGCACTCATCTTCATTTAGAATTTGACCATTGGCAAAAGACTAACTTATGGCCACTTACTGGAACGGACCATTAGCTCTATAGTTAGTTTGGTTTCTTGTTTTGCAATTTTACTTTGGCTACAAGTATTATAATAAAGTCGGACTCAGTGAGCATTTGGGGTTCTTGCCTCTGAAATTTCAACAAACTTCTCTAGTTTCTCTCCTCTTTAATGGATCTTTAATATCTTCTTCTCCTTGGAAAATTCAATCTTGTTATCAGCGCAAACTCCCTCATCCCAAAACAACAGGGCACTCCCTCTGCTTTCTAACCAGTGGCGGATGCGTTTAATGAAGTGGTATCATGCGACACTGCTTCATAAGAAAATTTTACTAAGGGTGATGCTAAACGGCCCAACTGGTGTGATCCAACTTTGGCCACACCAGTGAAAAGACATCAAAGACCCCCTAACTAATTAGCCTACATTTTTTCCTCCAAAACACAAAATTAAATCTCAAGCCTTGAAGTATGCGAAAACTAAATGTTGGGAGTTGAAGAGTCTTGTGTATTATATTTGTATTTATGTGTATTTTATACAAATTATACGATCTAGTATTTTTAATAAATTATTGTATTTTCTTCCTTTCATAAAAACAAATACGGTATACGATTTTGTATATTTCCTCCTTACCAAACCCTAAACCAGCGGACACTTTCTCCTTCTCTAAAAATGGATTCAAACCAAGAAAATTTGGCGGTGCAACAAAATATGAATCCAAATGAACATAACACAAATACAACAATCATGAATATCAACCAAGATAATAGGTTTGATCGAGTTAGGAATGAGTTATACAGATCTTTAGGGATGGCATCGGACGATAGTTTGTTGAATGAATACGAAGGGGTCGATGTTGATTCTCACGGCAGTTTCAACAATGTTGTGCACTTAGATGATGATGATGATGAAGAAGCCGACGAAGAATATCACGGAGAAGCTAACGATGATGAGGAGCAGGTTTTAGGAAATGAGTTAGAGTTATGTGATGTTGATCGGGAAATGGAGAATGAATTTACTGAAGAGGATGTGGTTGTAGGTCCAATCTCTGGAATGCGATTTAGAGATAAAAATACTTTGTTTGCATTTTACAAAGAACATGCACGACTGAAAAGGATTCTCCGTCGTCAAAAGAAATTCCAACAAGAAGGGTGGTGACACTGCCAGGTACATAACATAGTGTTGTGATAGGTCTAGGATTCGCAAAACCAAGTTTACCACCAAGAGTAACAATTGTAAAGCTAGGCTAGCTGCTGTTTTGGATTATTCTGGTTGTTGGCGCGTCTCTAAGGTCGTTCACGATCACAATCATGATTTGCTCTCATCCATATCGCGCCCGATGGCTGGACATAGGTCCGCTTGTGATTCTTTGAAGAGGAATCTTGTAGCTCACGATCGATCTGGCATTAGACCCTCCAAGAATATTAGACTTACTGAGGTTCAATGTGGTGTACCGCAAAATTTGAGTAGCATTCCAAAGGATTGTAGAAACTTTATTTTGGAGATTAGAAATTTTGAAATGCAAGAAGGGGACGCACAGTCACTGCTCAACTTTTTTCGTGAAATCCAGGTAAAGGATAGGGAGTTTTTCTATTCAATCGACGTTGATAATATTGGTAGGCTACGAAATGTGATATGGATGCATTCACACTATAAGGCAGCGTATGAGCAATTCCATGATGCGATATGCTTTGATACGACGTACCTTGTGAATCGATATAATATGCCATGTGCTACATTTGTTGGCATCAATCACCATAGAAAGTCCATCTTACTAGGATGTGCTCTCATGTCTCATGCAGATATCGATAGTTACAAATTAGTTTTTAGAACTTGGCTTGATGCCATGGGAAATGTTCATCCAGATGCGATCATAACTAATCAGTGTCAGAGCATTAGGTATTGTATTTGGCATATATTCTCAAAGTTGCCTCTTTACTTAAGTGGTGTTCGTCCTTCTAAAATTGCACGTGGAGAATTTAAATCCATGGTCCTTGATAGCATTACTGTTGAAGTTCTTGAGAGAAAATGGACAGAATATATTGCAAGGTATAATTTGCATACAAGGAATTGGTTCAATAAGCTTTACTCTGAGAAGGAAAAATGGGTTCCTATGTACCTTGATGTGTATTTTTGGGCTGGTATGCTATCTGCTCAAAGAAGTGAGGGGATGCATGCGTTCTTTGATGGATATATTACCCGTCAAAGCACTCTTAGGATGTTTGTTCACCAGTATGAGTTAGCTATAAGAGCTAAGCATGAGAAAGAGTTGGAAGCGGAATACAGGTCAAAGGGCTTTCAAATTGCGTGCGAGTCAATGCTCAAGTGGGAGGAGCAGGCAATTCAGCGTTATACACGTACAGTGTATGAATTTTTCAAGACACAGCTAAGGAAATTGTATCATTGTGAAGTCAGCAGCCCCGACGATCATCAAGTTGTCCCCGGTGTTGAGAAAATCATCGTTAGTAATTATTCAGTTATAAAGAAAAATAATGGAAATTCAGTTGAGTACACTGTTGAATATATACCTATCGGCGATTATTTTAGTTGCAGCTGCAAATGGTTTGAGTCTAGAGGGATACTTTGTTGCCATATACTCAAGATCTTGTCGCACAAGAAGATTGATAAAAAATATGAAAGGTATATACTGACAAGGTGGAGAAGCGATGTTTTTAGGCCACACTTGAAATCGGTTCCATCAAGTTGGTTACCCAAACATGACTCCTGAGTATAAGACATACATGAGCATGTTGAAGTATTTTGATATGGCTTGTGATATAGCACTGGGCACTAGTGTGAAGATTCAATATGTTAAGCGAGCTTTCGTCGTCAAATTTACGTTGGTTGATGTTTCATCACTATATGTTGACTTCAATGTTGAAGTGAAGGGAGAAGGAACTCTTGATCGTAATCCGGTTGAAATTGATTAGTTTTTAGGATGTGTTTTATGTTTTTCTATCCCTTTATTATCTTTGATTTTCATGTTGATTTAGTTATGCTAGTTGTGCTTTTGATTTGCTATAATAATTTTTATTTCTTACGTAGTAAGAAATCAATTTCAAAGACTGTTTTTATTTTTATTTTTTTAAATCAATTATTCAAGAATGCTTGGTTTCAGAAATTCATGTACAGCCATTTGAAGGTTGCACCTTAAGTTCTTCTTCTATGATTTTATGGATTTGTTCATTCGGCTTATTTGTTTTTTTTTCCATATTAACTAGAAACATTATGATGTTGTAACAACATATTTCCAGCTTGGCTTTCCCCTTTATTCAACAAAAGCTCTGATATTCAAAATAGGATATCCTAATATTAAAAAGATGTAGAAAGTGACGACAGATATGAATCTGCAGGTGCTCACGAATCTTTACTGGAGAAACTCGTAGACTTAAAATTCAACCTAATTCTACCTACACACTACTAAAACGGTTGAGAATAATAAATATTTCATTGAGAAGCTAAATAGTTGAGAATAATAAATGCTTCATTGAGAAGCTAAATAGTTGGCATGAGAAGCTCAATGGTAACCTACCAATCGGATTCTTTTTGGAATGGAGAAGAGAATTTTTTTTGTGATTTTACTAAAAAATTTCATTGAGAAGCTATATAGTAAAACTGCAAAACCATATCCAAACCACATATTCTCACGGTTGGAATGGATAAGAGAAAATTAAGAAAAATATTTACTGGAAGAAAATATTCTAATAGAAATTTATTAAAAACAGTTACTGGAAAAAAAGGTACTGGAAAACATTATCAAAATCGGATATTCTCACGGTTGGATGAAGAGCTCATGAAAAGAATTTTGGATAAACTAAATGGATGCATTGAAGAATGTAAAGTCTTTTTTGAGGAGTGTAAAGGGTTCATTAAAGATTGTGATTCAAATTAAAATAAGAGACAAACCCTAACCATAACCCTAGAAATATTCAAAAAATCATACTATAAATACAACTACATTACTAATCTCATTCATTCAAATTATCTATACAAATTCAAAATTCTCTGAAAATAACAGTGGAAAGAACTCCTACTAAGAAAATTGTCGATGAACCTCTTCATGGTTCACCCGTCAACCACAACATCCTCTACCAGGATGTTAGGAACAATTTGAAAAATTTGAAGACAGAGACAAACCTGCTGATGCTACGGTTGACAAGGGAAATTGGAGCGGACTATGTGAAAAGACTTCTTCTTGATTCATACCCTCTCACTTCCTGCTATGATATGCTTGAGGAACTTCTAGCTGAACAAGATGAAGAACCCGTATTCCTGTTATTGTTATAAGCATTGACACCTAAGCCGCCTCTAAGGCTTCAAAATCTGTTAATCAAAAGAGTGAAGAGTAAAAGTTTGTGTTTTTTTGTTGTTTTGTGATGCATGCCATGTTGTTGACATGGTATGCTAAAAGTATCTTCCAAATATTATTTGGAATATGTTGAAAAGTATCGATTAATCAATGAAAATGCTTATTTAGTATTTCTTCTGCTTCCTTTACTTTTGATTCTTATTTTTTGCTACATGTTTTAAAATATTTTTGCTTCCTTTATTCCCTGGTTCCAAATATTATCGAGCCAAAAGAAATACCCTTTTTTGAGGTAAAAATATGGTCACTTTTCCTATCTATAACAATATAAAAATTATCACTATAATATTAAAAGAATAAATTAAGGAAGAATAGCTGTAAAAGTAATACTGACATAGTGTAGGTGAAATTTCTATTTCACTAAATTAATGAAAAAATTAAGGCATATCTCAGAAAATCAAAACAAAAGAAGATGCATAATTCAGCTTCACTATGAATTATGTAGATCTCAAAGAATTTAACCAGTTTCAGAAGCTTTCATTCAGAAAATTAGAACCAGCATAAAATTTCTACAAGTCACAAGTTGGAACTATATGCATGTAATTAAATAGTAATTTGCATAATCTTTGCCCACGTTTAATATGTTTGCCTAACCGGCAAATTAACTCTCATTTTATATGATAGCATACGAATACCATGCAATGATATCAGTTCGATTATGTACAAGGAAACTATAATTCATAAGTTAATTATCAAACAAAGATCACACCAAAGGTTAAACATGATCGAAATGCTAAAGAAGTCACAAAATTCGAACTTCATAGATAATGAACTAATGAAGAAAGTAAACATAAAATAATCACGCCCAACTTCATCACAATACTTGATATTCAAAAGTAAAAACAAAGTCATCAACTCTTGCACACCCAAGAGAAATAACAAACACTTTTCTAACACAACATAACATATGAACTAAAATTGACATAATTACTTTCCAACATTTTCAGACAGCTTCAACCCAATAAATATGCCCGCTAACATAGCAGATACAATAGCACGTGCTGCATTTTTATTTGTTACCACTTCTTCACTTTCTTCAACGGCCGAGCTTGAAGATGACTCTTCCTGTGATAAACTTATTTTTTAAAATTTGTTGAAGGCTTCTAAGGCTTTATCATAATATTGGAAAGCATGAAAGTAGCTACCCTCGACTCCAACAAGCATTTTAACACACTCAAACCAACATTTGCATATTCGCGGCTTCTTACCACAAAAAACAACAAACACCATAGATTTGAGTTTTTGTTTACCTTCAGCAGATTTTTCAAATTCATCGAACGCCGATATGGCCGCATCGTGAGACTTGAAAGACTGGAAGATGCTACGCTTAACCCCGATAACCATAGGAGAACATTCACTCCATGAGTAGTATATTCCTGGCCTTTTACCAGAAAATACAACATATACTTTTGAAGAACTATTCTTCTTCGAATGCATCCTTAATCTATTAACTCACACTTAGAAGAGTATAGGAGTTTAAATGAAGGTCTGTTTAAGTATGTTTTCGGCCAAAAATGGTTTGTTAAGTAGGGTTTCAGCGATCTAGGTTTATTTAAATAGTAGGGCTTTGAAGACCTAATAATAATATACGAAATACACAATGAAATACTAAAAATATATGAAATGCAAATTCAAATACATGTATATAGATGAATAATTTCGAAATATATATGTGTATACTATATTAAAAAAGGCTGAAAATACGTAAAAAATAAAAGAAAAAGGTTTATGGGAAATAGGGTTTGCAACTTTTGAGATCTTCCATGCATTGGGAAGACGACTATTAAATGAGTGGGAGAGAAATATTCAAACCTAACTAAAAGGGTATTATTGGGAGTCCGGAACCTAAATATTGTATTTTTGGACTCAAAATACATTAATAAGTTTTTTTTAAAAAAGTTACATATCTTTGTATAGCGTTTAAATACAAGACGATATACCTTAATGGTAACTTTTTCCGTTAAGGTATCGCGTCTTCTATTTATACGCTATACTGACAGGCGATTTGACTGCCACATATAGCGTCTTCATTTCATACGCTATACATATAGCGTATGAAATGAAGACGCTTTACCCTGATTATGGACCCACCAATAATTTAACTGACATAACAGTAATTTAAATGAGTATAGCGTCTATTTAAAGAACGCTATACGTCAAAAAAATTCCATATCCCGGGCTAGCCATTTCCTATATAAAGTGGTTAGGATTTTAGGATAATTCGTTCACAACAAATTCCAACTCCCATTCAATATTTTCTTGTTGTTAAATTCTTAAGCATTTTTTTCGTAATGTCTGAAGAGCGTAGAATAAGAGTTTCATTATATTGGGGGGTGAGGTTGTGATGGAGAATAACTCTGTGAGGCAGGGTCATGTTAAATTACCACTTACAATGGAGTACGATAAATTGATATCGTTGTTATGCAAAAAAATGGGTGTGAGAAAAAGTTCAGTGATACTTAAAGTAACCGGAAGATATCCGTATTCCGTCACTCCGCAAGGGACTGCTTTTTACTCGGAGTTAAACATCTACGATGATGAAACTTTGAGGATTTTCTGAGGACTCCGGATGAATACCGAAAATATCTTGTAATCAAAATGTTGGATATGTACGTCAAGGTCGAAGACGTTCCAAACAATGACGTTGNCACTGCTCGCCCCGGGCACATCTGCCATACATGTAGCCGAGAACACAAACACCCCAGCTGTAATAGGGGTAACTCATCTAGAAGCTGAAGATGATGAAGAAATCTCAGGCTGACTAGGTTCCCCGACGNGTTCGGGAACAAGACATCTCCAATTAGAAGAAGCAGCAACAACCTCGTATACCGGGTGATATGTACCTCCTCTGTATCGTCGGTGATATCGGGGTGGAGTACCTCCAGGTACTGTCTAATAGGTGTCAAAGTCAATCGATTGGCACCCGACGATGCAGTCTCGTCCTTTGGCCCGAAACCCGTCAGCTGCTGCAGCATGTCCAAATAAGCATCACGCGCCATAGATCTCATGGCAATAGGCAGTGAAACGGCCATGCCATCAACGGGCAGGCCATATAAAACCTCCACGTCCTGCAGCGTGATGGTAGCCTCGCCAATGGGCAGGTGAAAAGTGTGCATCACCGGTCGCCACCGCTCAATCAACACCGTGATCAAAGCCCAGTCAACCTGTATCCGCCCGATCTCAATAATCCTATTGAATCCCGTATCCTGGAGGCGATGGACTACACGCTCGTGGAAATCTCTGGGCCTCAGAAATCCCACAGGTCGTCCACTCTCCTAGCGCGGAGAGTCTGGGACAGTAACTCTCCCTCCCATATATGGGCGGACCTATGATCGCCCTGAAGCACTAATAGCTCACGAGAG